ATTTCTTATATCGTTATTGTTATAATTATTATCGTCATGTCCCTTATACAGTGAAGTGAAGTGTAGTGAAGTGTTATGTAAACTAGAAGTGAATTTAGAGTGAGCTAGAAATAAATTTGATCTACGATATCGACCCCTAATTCTAATAGTAAACCTAATTGTAAATGTTGAAAATGTTTAGTTATTCTAATTCTTATCATGTTTGCCACCGAGCATTAGCTCAAAGCGAACTTTAATATATCTATCTATCTATCTATCTATCTATCTATATTTTCACCGTCCGCTATTACGTAAGTGTAGAAAGTATTAAGAAAAAAATTGAAATAGTTTTTGAGAGAAAAAAAAATTACGGCAATTTTACGCGCCAATTACGCCAAATGTACTCATTGTTTTTTCAAAACATTGTTCATAACCTCATTGAAAGAGCTAATTTTATACAACGTACTTTGAAGCAAAAATCTCTATCTTAAAGTTTTTAGTGTCTTTTTTGTTGTTGCAATTTTCGAAAAATCTGTGATTACAAAGAAAACGAGACCTGCACAATTCTCTTAAACGTCCTTCGAAATATTGAACATCAAAATTTAATCAACAACTTTGGAGCATTTTTTGAAAATTCTGACATTGCTCGCGGAGCTCCATGAAAAGTATCCCACTCAATTATAGAATCGATTTCAAATTCCAGGGGCCGCGATATCAGGCAGAACGATTGGGGAATATCAATTTTGGAGAAAATCTGTTAAACTGTTCATGCACTAGCGTTATGTACACACAGATGGACAGACACGTTTTGCCGTCAATCGATTTTTCGGTATGAAGGATGCACAAAACAAGGATTCTGGCTACACCATGCGTTGGAGGAATTTTCCCCCGTCTATATTTACCATATGGATTTATCCACTTTTTCATTACCAGGGCTCAGCAATAAGTTTTTGTTTCGAAAATTGGCCGTTTTCCGGCGCACGATTATAATACTTGCTCTTCTTACGTTGGGAAGTGCGAGAAAGTAATCAATTGTCGCGGTTTTGAGAAAATTAAAACTTCCTATATTACGCACAAAAGTACACGAAAAATACTCACATTTTCGAAAATGCGTTAAAAATTGTTTCCCACATCACATCCCACACAGAGGTGACAAAGGTATTGACTGAATACTAAGGTCTAAAAGTACATTTTATCAAAAGAAAACGATCGTGGTTGTAACGACAAAGACATTTGAATATTTTGACGCAAAATATAATGCAGAATATCTATAATTAATACATTATCTACTTAAAAAATATTAACTCACCGCCTGAGCTTGAACTGCTGCTTTCTCTCTTTCTTCTCTCTCTCGTTCTGCTTGCTTGCGCAAACGCTCCTCTCTCTTGCGAGCTAATTTTGAGTCCGGTACAGGCTTGAATGTGAGATCAGTCCTTGTACAGGAGTTGAAATCACCCCGGTTCCAATGTCTCAAGAAACTAAAATAAGAAACAAAAACATTTACCATTCGATTCACAGAACTTTAATATAAAAATATAAAAACATAATAGTAAATACTATTATCAATATAAAAACGTAATAAATAAAACAAATTGATACGCACTACATACACTAGAAATACGAAATGTTTTTGGAGATCTCTACAACTTGAAATACCTCGCTGACATTGCTTTTAAAGAACCTTCGACAGAAGGTGATGTATACAGACGGGCTTACTATGAGTGTTCAGGATAACCTGCATTCATTGTTAGTGCAGTGAATTTCATTAAAAACAGACCAAATTCTTAATTCTCAGCCCACCTAATTTGTTTAAGCGGATGTGCGACACAAAATCAAATTCCTACAAGTTTTTACAAGACCATTTTCATCACCAGGCCACGATTAAAGGCTTCCCAGAATTGTGTAATAATTATGCTGCGGATTTATTGGAACGATCGCATCTCGATCAGGTTTTCGTCTAGTTTCCCTGATCAGACTTGACGTAAATAAATAAATAAATAAATAAACGAAAAACTGTAGAAATAGGCATTTAAAACGGTAAAAACCGTAAAACAGGCATTTAAATTGGACTTCAATTTTTTCTTATCCTTATTTAAGTACTTGTTTAGCAAGTTTCTGAAAGTAACATAATATAGTTACATTCATCGAATGTTGCTTTCATCACTGTTCTGACAAATCCTCGTAGAAAACCTTTCTCACATTGTTAGGGAAATTCGGACAAAAAAGGCTGGATCGCAGTAGCTACCTTTTACCTCTTCATTAAATACAAGGCGGTACTTAAATGTTACACATATGATCTTTTTTCTCATTTTTAATTAGAACATAATTGAAACTATATGTTTTTTTCGATCACAACTGTAACTAATAGAGCTACAATAGCACATACTTTCTCGTATTACATAAAAAATGAACATTTGCAGTTTTCAAAAATTGAGTGTTCAACAAAAAGGAGACCTCAACCTTTCTTTTAAGCGTCGCTAGGTTACATTCGCAGAAACAATGAAGAAAATTGTAGCGCTTTTTGAGAATTATTTGTGTAATTTGATTTAATTCCAAACAGAAATTATTATTAAAAAAAACAAACTATATATCACATTTTTCTCATTTGATTTTTTAAAGCAGATTTCATTTAAAACAAAAATCACAGAATCAATATCGTACTTTTGCAATGTTATCTTTTCGCAATTTTCAAAGATATTGCGAGCCCGCAAAAAAATGAGACAGGCACAAATGTTTATATCGCATTTTGATACATACGCGAAGAAATTTTTAAGAAAAAAATTGGAGCCGTTTTATCAGAAAAAAAATTGTTTAAAAATTCGAAGTAAAAAAAACACCACACCATCAGCAGTGATTTTGCACGTATTTCATAATACAAAATTTCTACGCTGTAGTGGCAGTGAAACGGAACATCGATTTATTGAAAGTTGTTCCATTTCTCCGCACTTTGCAGGAACAGGAGGGAAAAGTACAATTTTTTTGAAAAAGTTTTGGTTAAGGGTAATTGCATTTTGATCAATAAATATGAGAATAAGCAACATTTAGGCATTTAAACTCCAAATATGCATTTATTAGGGAATTATGCATTTATAGGCACTATAAAATTCACATATAATGCTCCTAATGCCTGAAAATGAATAACAAAAAAATAGCGTTTTCCATTGAAGGGAGAAAATAGCAAAAATCCACAGCTCAGTAATAATATACGAGATCTCTGAAGTGCTAATTATATGAACGCGACCGTGGGAATGTTCTGTAATCCAACTTGTAATAACATTTAACTGTTCATTGTCGTTTATATATTCGCACTTTGATGTAAGTAAAAAACTGGTAGGAGTATTAACCATAAACGAAAAGTACAGGCCAAAAGCCTCCCTCTCTTAAAGAACAAAATGCATATGCGCACCTATTAATAATCTATGAAACTTTTACTCTAATATGTTGAAATGTTCAATAACATCAAATCTTTTTGTCCTCCAGTTTCAAGATTCTGAGATTCCTACATATTATTACAGAGCTTAATATTGTACTTACATTGCACTCTGACTTCTATGACATTCTGTATCTTCAATTTTAGGCTCTGGACTTGGCCCTCGTGGTACATGCGAAGGGCTAGGAATTTCCTCCTCAGGTTGGACTTCTCCAATTTCCAATGATGGTTCACTTTTCACGTCATCACTTAACCCTGGTCCTAAATGCCGACCACCGAGTTGATGAGATCCTATCACAAACAAGAGAAAATTTCATTTACGTTTTATTCATGACAAAAAATATTGTGAAATGTATTATATTCATTATGAAGGAAGTAAAAATTTACCAAGTTATCTGTACCTTTAAATATATCTTAAAATAAATTGAAACTCACACCATTTCATTTAGACAAACCGATAAGATTAATTACAAGTATAAAGAATTATTTTCATATTGTTATGAGTTTCTATTACAAATTGAATGCAAGATATTAGATTCTGAAAAAGGAAATATCTGAGGAGAAAAGCAAGAAACATAGTGAAAGAGAAAACATCAAAAACGGAAAAGTTGAAAGTGGCATGTGGTCCCCAGATTCTCGATTGTTTGTTAAAGCCTTTGTGAATGCATGGGTGTAAAAGAGCATACATCATATTCAGAACATTCTTATGCACTGGAATATTTCCAGTAAAGCCACCAGTTAAGATGACGCTGCATTTAAACAAAGATATCAAAGAATTCCAAAATTATTAAGACTAATTTAGTATACTAGAATGGAATGTGTGTAGATTGCTAACATGAGTTTAGAAAACAAAAATCTATGGAAAAATCCATGTTTTCTTTTTTTTAAAGATGTTTCAACAAAGCATCAAAATGAAACTATAGAAATATTTAAAATATTTTGAAATCATTTAAGAGCCGAACATACATTATGAAATGTAAATTTGCATCCTCCTGTAACACACCCTTAACGCGTGTTTAAACCCCCCTATGAATTACGTATCATTAGCAACCCCCCTTATAAATGCAAGAAGTTAAAATAAATTATAGCACACTAAAAGCAATTTGTAATAATTTTATTTGTGTTGTATATTAAAGTTTCTGATCATTAAAATCGAAATTAATTGGCGATACTGACTGCACCTATCATATTGGGTGCAAGTTGTGAGTGAAGGAAGGCCACATAGGAGCGAACTTTTTTTTTACTTTTCTTTTCTTTTTTTTTAACACAAGTCGTGCACACGCCGTCATGGATGATACATGGGTGAGAGTCTAAAGCTCCAGTTTAAATGGCTTCTAGAACATACTTAATATCAATTTTGAATATTTTTCTTGATAATCTTACAGATTCAATAAAAATGGATAAAAATATGTATTGAAAAATTTTATGTTTTTAAAACAAATTGTTTAATTTTTTCTATTTAATATAAGACACAAAAAAAGGAATTATTTTAGCAAATACTGAAAATGTAAAAAAAATCAATGTTACGAAACCAACCTATACCCCGTACCCATATGAAACGCAGCGAAACGCTGGTTCAAACTGTCTCCCATCTCTTTAGCATTACCTAATTTATGGACGTCCCCTTAACATTGGCTGTGACATTGTACTTTCAATAAAATCTTCAAATTAAATTAGGGGCATTACTAGAGATTCCCAACGGGGTCAGTGAAGAGGCTTACGTTAACCTTGATGGACTATAATCACGATCCATTTATTCCAAAACCAAAATGAACTTTAAAAATAATTGTTTTCAGGTATAAAACAACAAAACAATATTAAATTAAATTTGTTCCAAGAGTTGTCACCCCGAACGGAATACATAATATTAGAATCAATCCTACATAATCAATTACACATAATAAATTATAAATTAGCTCGTATCCACCATTCATTCTTAGGTCCACGGGTGTCGCTAGGATAGGGTAACCGGTGGCCATATTAATGACCCCGCTGACGGGAACGGCATGCAAGTAACTAAAAGTTAAAGCAGAAACATTTCTGCATCTCTCAATTCAGTCAGAATATACATTTCCGCCTGAGATTCAGCATAACATTCTGAAGATAAGCATCCTGAAGTTTCCACACTCTTAGATTACACAAACAATTGTACAAAAACTGCTTAAATCCCATCCCCATGATTCCTCATTTCCTCTACCGAATTTGGAATCCTATCATCTACATGCCTTACGAATAGATTGTTTAAGTCAAAACTAACTCACTCAACGGTGAGCTCATTCAATGAGGTTATCCACAATTATAACACAATGTAGAAATGTATTCTAAAGCACGCAATGCGGTGAAAGTTTGCAAGTCTCAGCACTTTTCGAAAATTGTGGTTCATCCCACGAGGGGTCTATAGCCACAAACTTCACCATTATATGTTTCCCCCCACAAAATTTCGCAAAGATGTATGTTTCCAAAACATCTACCAGTAATATTCTGAAAATAATTCAGTAAACCAAAATATAAATATTTGTCCAACTTAGATGAATTTCCGAATTGCTCAATAAAAACTCGCGCACCATTTTAAACACACGTTATCTCACATTTTTAATGCCTGTTTATGCACATGAGTACTTCCAGACACTTTGAAAACAGCAAAAATTAAGCCACCTTTTAAGAGCCTCACAAATGAAAATCAAAATTAACTGCCAACTTCTCTTTTGTCAGTTTTATCAAAAATATTAGCGAGACTTCTCTGTAAATAAATGGACATTCTCGGGAAATATGAAGCGTTTTCAGTCTCAACAAGGATTTAGAACACTACAATCTATGGAAACAGACTTTTTTCTTTAAGATATGTGTTCCTCAAGGGATCTAAATGAAGCTACCATTGATATATTTTCATATCATTCAAAATCTGACATCATTGACCACATATTGCTTTCAAAATTACCTTATTTAGTAGGGGGCAGATATTGATTACCAAAAACATTGTAAAAATTATCAATAAAATGCTCTTAAATGTTTTTAAAATGCCCTAAAAACAAAGAAAAATGACATTAAAGTTTTTATCAAAACCAGTTTAGATGAACAACTCAAGCTGTTGGGCATATTACTGATGTAATCATGGCTTGTTCTTTTGCTTCAAATGAACTCAGCTTGCAAACTTTTGATTTGGACTGTTATTTACCAGGAAATCTGTCTTTAGTTTTAGAAAATATAAATATAGAAATCGGCCGAACCGACAATGGTGTTCATTAGCGCCACAGGATCCTGAGATTTCATACAATGGGCTGACACTAGAATTTCTGGGCGAATAATTCAAATAATCTACTCGGGAAATCTAAGGAGAATATTTCTTGCATCTCGGAAATACCATTAAATTACTTGAAGCAAATACCATTAAAATGGTATAAAAGCAATTAAATCAACAAAAAAATAAATTATGACGGGGAAAGGTAAAAAATAACTTATTAGGCAAATCGAGTCAGGAGGACCGCCAGGTAGGATCTCTGCTTATGGGCTCCTGCATCACTATCCAGCGGCCAGAATCGGGAAGGAACAGGGTTTAGGACACTTCCCAGAGGTTGGACTAGCCCTTGTGAAGCAGCCAAACTGGTTTTGTTGGAACAAATTTCACACGAGATTATCCAGGATTCGACGGTTTACAATGTATCTGATGAAAGTAACAGCTGATTTGGTCAAATATAACCTCGTGACAATATCTCGATCGTCACAATTAAAACCAATCCATTCTCTCCCGCACCCTTTGTTTTCGCACTAGTGGATAATATTCCGAATCATTGTTGGAATCGTCTTCAAATACTATCATTCGTAATCGTCGAGCCATAACACTTCGGAAGTACATGCACATTGAAAACTGAATTTATTCCGTACTTCACCCGACGGATTTTCGCAGTGTAAAGTTATTCTCGAATTTCCTCTCGTGTAAGCGATTTACACTCGAGTAAAGTGTTGGTGAAACGCCCCAAGACGTTACTCTCGAGTAAATATGAAGTAAGAGTAAACGCTTACTCTTTGTTTGGTGAAACCGGCCCTAAGGACAATAAATAGAGGTCTAGGTCGCAGGCCTAGATCGCAAGCTGGTCAACCAACTGCTAAGAAACGGCAATTCTTTGGTGAATAGTTGTTGAATTAATAGGAATCTACCTCTCTTTACTTATTGCATTGATAATTATAGCAAGTAGATGTACTCGGTCAACTGTTTGAATTTGACAGTTACGAAGTTGTCACCAATAACTCTCTTAATACTCTTACTACCCAAATCTCAATTCTTATGGCAGTTAATTATAGCCAGTCACAATACCAGAGCAGATTGAAAGCCAGTCAAGGTTTTGAGGAAAACGAAAATTCTACAGAAACCATTGAAATCTTTGTTCCATTCTTGTTAGAATAGATCACGACCCCCCCTGTCGTAAGAAGAGTTGAATAGGAGGAGCTGTCCGCTGTCTCTACCTACGTACAACTCCATCTTTCATGTTCATCTTTCGTTTCTTGTTCTCAGACACCATCACTCCTGCCCTTACGCTAAATCATGCCCATCTCCACTCACTCCCGGTACCCACCCCTGACCTTTTCCTCCCCTCCCCTTCTTTCTGCTTTAAACAAGGGTAAAAATTCATCAGGCGCAGAGAAGCCAGCTCTTCTAAGGGAATGCACATGATACAAATCCTGCAATTCGAATAGTGAAATTGGTAGCCGCGAATTACCTTGCACAGACCCCCTCACGCGGCTAGAGGACACTTCTCAACTACTAGCAAATAAAAGCAATCGGAGAGGCTAATAAATCTTTGGTGACAAAGGTGCCAAATAGAACAACGAATCGGAAAAATACATGGAATGTGAGAGGTCTATGTCGTGCTAAGAAACAAAATTTGAAACGGAATTAAAAAGGAGTAATGTTGCAATAATATTGGAAACAAAGCAGAAGTCATGAGGATCAAGATGTGTAATGCACTAGCACTAATGGTATAGCCGTACTTTTAAAAAATATTTTAAGAACAAAACAGATTGCTCCTCATATTTTGAAAAGAATAATAGTAAATATCAAACAAACTTGGAAGATCTAATTTCAATATTTTAGGAATTTTGGTTCCATAAGACGAAAAACCCAAAACTATCACAGATCTTTAGAAAGCTGTAAACAAAATAAAACAAAATGATTATCTCGTAGTAGTTGGTGATTAAGATGCCTGAATCAGGACAGTTCTAATTAAAGGCTCGGTGAGTCCATATGGAAAACCAGTTGTGAACAGAAATGGTAGAGTGGAGTAGGTCTACTAATAGTTAACATCAGAGTGAATGGAAATTATGTTAATTCTGTAATTGTATTTTAAAATCAGACACGAAGTTACCAAAAAGAGGGGAGATGAAACACAAAATAAAACAAAAACAAACGTATTTCTAATACGTTCGTTGAAGAATAGGAAAACAAGGTGGATATTCGAAATGGATATTTTACAGAAAAAGGAAATCAGTAGCATCAACGCTGAGTGCCAACAATTAATAGGTATTCTGAAACTAGCTCCAGGAATCCTGAAATGCTAGGAACATGAACTAAATTCAGAAACAATTGAAAGGTGCTGTAAGAAAATATTGAACTAGAAAATCGTATATGATAAAAGCACATGTTTGAGATATTTGAATAGAAACGAAAAACAGGATTAGTTATGAGAGATGAGAAAAATCAGAAGTCACAGATGAAATCAATACGGAATTAATCAAATAAGCATCCGAAGCATTTTCTCTCCAGTTTTTTGAATTGCCGGATGTACAGACTTGTAGTAGAGAAATGGAATTATTCAGCTGTTGATCCTCTTTTTAAAAAGCTTGATGACTAATTGTGACAATTAGTAGAAGTCTTATAAACGCTGAATATAAAAAGTGGATGCTAAAATTTTAGATAAAGAATAAGTAACACCTTAGAAACATTTGTTTTAGGGAAGAAGAAGAAGAAGAAGAAGAAGAAGAAGAAGAAGAAGAAGAAGAAGAAGAAGAAGAAGAAGAAAAAAAAAACCCAGCTTATAGAGAACACAGGGAATATAATATACGTACATTTACAGCTTTTATAAATCTTGTAAATGCATTTGATTGGGTAAACAGGGGAAACTATGGAAAATTCTAGAAAGATATGGCACATTGCAGCAATATTGAGCGTGTATTTTAATACTCATATCAGGATACGTAGCATTGACAAAAATCAGCAAAAAGCATCTAGTACTTAACCAAGGAGTAAGACATGTTTTATATGTCATCTGCTCTTTTTAATATTTACATAAATTACATAATTATTTCATGGTAACAAGCACCTACCAAACAAGTCTAAAACAAAACCAAAAACATTGAATTTCTTTAGAGTATGGACGGAATTTTATAAAATTTTGTATGAGCTAAAAAAAATTCAAATTATAATATTGCAAGCATTGCTATCAAATAGACAAAATGCATGATTAAGAGTAAAAAATTAATTAAATATGCACTATCCAATTTTAGCATTTCAATAATTTCCTGGTTTCACTACATTTTGTAGCAACAAAAATTTGTTTTCTAGAATTTTTGCAGTCAGATTTATTTCCCTGAAAATACAAATTTCAATGCATAAAATGACCTTTTTTCAACACTTTATTCCTATCACTATATGGGCTACTGTAGTATATTTGTCAAGACTTACAAAATGGCCTTGTGATATTTGTCAAAGATTAATACTAAAACAAAATGACTGGTACTACAAAATTTAAAAAACGGCTCCATGGATTAGGTCCAAATATGTTTTTTTCCTTCCATTGAGTACACCTATTTTGGAAAGAGCAAATTCATCTACCTCAAATATTTTACGACCCTCAACGACCTGCTTTGCAGGAGGGGGGCTGCTTTTCAATGATAAAACTCAAACAATCCAGAGAATATAATCATACCAAGTATGTACAAATATTTCTGTGGGAAACCAGACATTTTAAACAAATTTTGTACTTATCATTAAATGTTGTTCATATGTACAAACCTGGTGCTGTTAAAGGTGAGTGGGGCGATGCATGCATCATTGCAAGCTGAAGGCTTCCTTGTGGAATTGATGGTTGTGGCTGTTGCTGTGACACCTGTTGTTGTTGCTGCTGTTGCTGCTGCTGTTGTTGTTGCTGCTGCTGCTGCTGCTGTTGCTGCATATTAGCTGCAGCCTGTGCATGTGCCCTGCAAAAACGGTTTGTTTTGAATCTCCATTATATTTACAATTTGTGTTACAAAACAAATATGCATAAAATGCACACCTCAAAGCCTCTAAAGATGATCCTGGCACTGACGAAGGAGGTAAACCCATGCCAACAGATTGATGGCTCAGTGTGGGAGGTTGTACCATTAAACCTGGATGACTAGGATGTTTAGCATGATGACTATGAGCAGAATGATGAGGATGACCAGAACTGGAATGATGAGATCGAGGAACAGTTGGTGTATTAATAGATGATGAGACAAGTAATGGATTTGCAGTAGATAGGAGTTCAGACGACCCAGAGGAATTTCCTCCTGGAACTGAAGACTGATGATGAACAAGATGTTGATGATGACCATGTGAATGATGATGTTGATGATGACTTGAATTATTAGGATGTGACAATGAATTTGAAGCTGCTGGAGCTGTTGATATAATGGATGTATTGTGACAAGTTGGACTTGATGCCCGGACCATGCTTGAAGTAGACTTTCCGCTGGCATTTATTTTATGAGATGCAGATGTAACAACGGGATGTGATGGTTGTAGTGGGTGGCTTGATGACTGTGAAACACTATGACTTTGTTTATCTCCTTGAATTGTATGCAGAGATGAATGGTGTGTTGAGTGATGATGGTGAGAAGTACCCATTTCAGGAGGATGATGCCTTTCACTATTCTGGCTAATGCTTGAACTGGACTCATCAGGAACAGAAATATCACGCCGAGATGTCACACTATGTGAAGAATGGTGTGGTCCATGTAATGACTGAGAGGTATCAACTGATGTTCTTTGTTCTGCCTTAACCTGTTCATGAGATGAACGTTGAGTGTGAGTGGAGGAGGCTGATGAAACTGATGGAATAGTTGGGGCAGGTGGTGTTGAATGATGAGGAGGTGGCACAGGGTGGGGCTGAGGAAGCGGTGGCCCATAAGGATAAGGAAATGGATATCCATAAGCGGCATAAGGGTGGGGAGGATGATATGGATTGTGATGAACTGCAGCTGCTTGAGCTGCAGCAGCAGCAGCAAACAAGGAATGATGAATTAGTGTATGTGGGTGATGATGTAATGCAGGGTGACTTCCAGGAGGGCCAATAAAAGGTGATGAATGAGGATGAGGAGTCGGATGGGGATGCGGAGTAGGATGAGGATGGCCAGGGGAAGCACGACTGATAGGAGATGTTTGCTGTGTAGGGTGCATAACTGGTTGAGGGATACCAGATGGACCACTAGCAAGTGATGTTGGAGTAAGTCTTGGAGAATGTGATATTAGACTAACAGCACTATGAGAAACGGGAGGTTGTGCTGAAGAAATTGGAGGTGCTAAAGGAGGAGTGGCAGAGGATAAGCGAGGCAGAGGGGAAGAGCATGATGGTCCACTTAAGGAGGAAGTGGCATTTGCATTATTTTCTGATGTACTTCCAACAGACTGATGTTTAGAAGGTGGTGTTTTTGACGAACTTGCTCCCAGAGAAACTGATGTTCCTATGGATGAGCCAGAATTTGAAATATAATTCTCAGGCTCTTTCTTAATATTTTCAATGGCAGGTCCAAGAAATGGTGGCACAGGTCCAGAACCAGAGGGGGGTCTTTGGACATCCATTCCCAGAGATCCACTAGAATTCTGCTGCATGTGTATGTTACTGCCTGGTAAGGGTTGTGAAATTGATAGATTTGACCCAGAGTATCCTGGAATCTTTACTTCCTTAAGAGATTGGAGAGGATCAGAAGAAATTGGTTGATCAGATGGAGTAATAACTTCTTGTTTTATCTTCAGATTTTGTGGTTCATTTTGCTGATTCAATCCAGTATTAACAACAGATGAATTATTACTACTTTGTAGAACACCACTTACTTTCTCGCCATTGGAAGTGTTAGATCTTTGGTGCGAGTGGTATGGCGATGCAGGTAAGAAGCTGTACCCTTGATGTGATAACACTGTGGATTGACTCGGATTAGACTGAGGCAATATCTGTTGTTGTAATGTCTGTGGATTTGTTATTGTGCTATGCACCTGAGATAATTTAGCATCTCTATTTTCTTCACCATAATCACTGGACATTTGCGACTGCTTCTCCACACTTACACTAATCGGTATTTCACTCGCACCTGCTTGTCTAATCACAGCTGTTGTAGCACCTGCTTGAAGGTGGGGGTGATTGCCAACCTGCATCATTGGCGAAGACGACCGATGATGAGATACAGGAATAGTTGAAAGATTTGCACTTCCCCCAGGCATTGGAGAAGGCATTCGAAGCATTGAAGAGGTCATCTGGGCAGGAGGTAAATCATGATTCATTCCTCCAGTTACATCTGAAGGACTAGATTGCTGATCCTCTCGCCCAAGTCCTGGTTCCAGTTTTATAGCAGATGCTGCCATTGGCAAATGATGTTGCAACACACTACTCGAATTATTCAATATACTGCCCATTGAATTACTACACATTGGTACACTCATTAATGTATTACTTGAACTAACTTGTTGAGAATTTTCCTCTTTCATTGGCATGTTCAGAGATAATGACATGTTTAACATACCATCATTACTTGTTTCTATTTCTTCTTTAATAACCACTTTCATCATTGCAGCTATTCCAGTACTTGCAACATCATCGTGATTTTTCACAGACGATGAAATAACACTATTTGGATCTCTCTTACTAATATCTGGAGTATGTTCTGATACATCTCTTCTTGTCAAACGAAGAGCATCCTCTTCAAGTTTGGTGTTCATATGACCATCTAACTTAGGTTTCTCTATTTTAATTTCTTCATTTTGCACAATTGCTGATTGAGGGGGGAAACTTGTTTGACTAGAAAGTTTAACAATCTCTCTATCCAATCCACTTTTCAAATCACCAGAAACTCCTAAAATTTCCTCTGGCATTTTCTTGCTGCTTATATTATCTTCCAATACACCTAAACTTGCAATGGGAACTCTTATTCCACTAGGAGTGGAAGAGCCCGTAACACAATTTACGGTAGTTTGTCCACTTACCAAACAAGGTATATTAGTCAGGTCTACATTTGCTGCCTTAGTTGTAACTGCTGCAATACCACCTACAATTACCATTCCTCCAGCTGCAATTGGTAATGACGTGGTAGAAGAAACAGTAGTACTTGTTGATGTTACTGTAGACACAACACTATTTGCTATAGCTGGAACTGCCACAATAGTTCCACTGGATTCTATTTTCTCATTTGGCACAGCAGAGGGGGTTTCTGTTTGTAACACAGTCATACCAGAATTATCTACAGAATTACTGACTACAGAAGCAGCAACTTCAGGAGCTTCTGTTTCTTGATCATTGTTTTCTCCATCATCCAACATGGATCCACTATCTGTAGTTAAACTTTCTGCTGGACTCTGAAAACAAAAAAGTTTGTTTCATTCAAAAAGTGAAAGGATAAATTTCATACTTTATAATACTTTCTAAACAATTCTACAATAAGCAAATCATTAATAATTCACAATAAGCAATTAAGACAAATTTTTGAACTGTGTTAAAATGAGTAATTGTGTAACAACTCCATAATTTGTAAAAGAGTTTCAGCATAATATCCTAATGTTTTATCAATAAAAAATAATGTTTATCAATATCAATACATTTTATCAACAAAATGTAATAATGTTTTATCAACAAAACAAATAATTTAATTTGGAAAGTAATCCTATTTACTTCATAAGTATAACCACATTAATATATATGTTTTAAAACTAGTGGTGCTAAAACAGCAAATTCAGTCTCGCCCTTAGTAATGGTTAGGAAATACTATTTATTCTGGATTTTCTCTCTGAATTTCGGTCATTTTCTTTTTTTAAAACTCATAACAAATTGTAGAACTTAAGTTGCGAGCTCCTCAATCTGTGGTCAGCAGACTCACAAGGCTTTCTCCAATAATACACATACTTAAAAGACAAGGGACAAACAACCATGCTCACAGCGGGACTCGAACCCACGAAACTTCAGACCGACGCGCTGAGTCGGCACACGCTCTACCCAATTCGGCCATTCAGGTCGGCAACAATTCTAACTGCGTTTCATACAGATAAATTAGGTCTCAACAATGAGACGTAATTCACAGAACTGCAGCTGCCTCGCGGGCGGAATGTCATTGACGCATTTCAATCCGATATTTCCTGAAGACTACCAATTTTTCTTTTATAATACATTTAAATCGTATTTTAAGAGAGAAAACCTAATTGGGCTAATTTCAATTGTTTGCGGATTGAATGAATGAAAATACATCAATACATTGAGAATGAAAATACATCCCTCCCAACACGAACAAAATAATGGATAATCAATAATAAATGTTGATGAATTCCTAAATGACGCCATATTACAAAAAAAAAAAAAAAAAAAAAAAAAAAAAAAAAAAAAAAAAAAAAAAAAAACGTAATTTCCGAAAAATTGAATCTGACATTATATGAAGGTCTGTTCTTGATAAACCCATTTCAATAAGAAAAAAAATGTTCATCTTCGTAACTGGAGTTGTAGGATGACGCCCAAAAATTTTATAATTTTTGCAAAAATAGAATCCACGAACAGGAGACTTGAACCATTCTCTGAAGCATTAATTATGGAATCCGAGGTAAAAATTAATCAAAATTGTAGGTCCCGGTTCTTTTTCGTAGAAGAAAAATATGTTGAAACAAAATTAAAATTTGCCCATCCCGCAAAATTACGCGAAAAATATTAAAATTTTCGAAAAAGTGTACACGACCTTATTTCAAAATCTATCTTTAAGGAATATATTTCTTTAATTGGATTGTTGGTGTAGTAGATACCTTTTTTTATTTTGATCAATATAACCGAACTTTGTTTTCGACCCAGAAGCTGCAAGCTCTGAGGATGATCGCTACGCGATCGAAATGATCATTAGTGGAATTAAAATATTGATACCTGACAATATCTCTATTTATTGATCGGAATATATTTCATTACGGGAAAAATATCTAACTTTAATATTTTCGTTGTAGGAAGACTCCGAAAAAAAAGTTGAACCTTTTGCAATTTTGGAAAAATCTGAGTTTTCAACGAACCTGAGACCCGCACCATTCTCTTTAACATCCTTCACAAAAAATAATTATTAAAAAAAACGGAGTTTTTTTTTTAATAATTTTAATTTGGGTGTCCCAGGGGCTTCATGCGAAGTACTTCACAAAATTAAAATATCGGTTTGAAATTCAAGGTGCCGCGACATCAGCCAGATCGATAAGGAGAATGTCAATTTTGGAGAAAATGCAGAACAGTTTGGCCACTAGCGTTGTTCAACAACTTTTTGCCAGCAATCGTTTTTTTTTTTTTTTTGGTATCAATGACCCACAATACATATATTGTGTATTTTGAGTACACCATTTGTCAGAGTATTTTATTTTCTAAATTTAGCACTGGATTTATCCACTTTTTCCTTACCAAGGTCCGGGATTAAGAGGTTTTTCCCGCAGCATTACGTAACTTTTACTTTACTGAGTAAGCAGTAGCGAAAAAGTGAAACTCGACTCCTTAAAAAAAGTAGTGTACATTTTTTTAAAAGAACGATTACTTTTCGTGTAATTTCTGCTGAAAAAAATTCAAATTATAAAGAAAAATATTTTTTGAAAAACCGCTATAAATGTCTTCAATTCCCCCCTCCAAGGATAGAACAATAGACGCTTAAAAGTTCTTGGTACTCACTGAATTTTAAAACGTTGCAAATTTAGAGACGATGCGAGAAATAACGTTCTGTTATTGTCCCACTAGTTTTATCTCTTTTATCGGCAAAGCCATACGTGTTATGTTTCGTTATTTGTTTGATAACTTCAGATAAAAATTATATTTGTTACCGAATATAAAAAGACAGCATAGTGGAATTTCCCCAACTAGGAAACAATGACATTTAGATGGTTCGCAAGAATGTTAAATAAAAACGAATAAATTTTATATAAATTAATTTAAAAAATTCCTAGTTATTATAACATGTGTAGTCGTTGTGCTCTTGCTTCTTACTATTTTTTCATTTAACACCTCTATTTTGTGAACTTCACTGTTAAAAAGTAACTATGTCCACCTGAAACATTTTTCAATTATAAATTTTGGAATTAACATTGTGCTTCCATTTACTCGCATGATATTCCGTTTTGTCATGGTACCTATTATTAGGAGTAAAGTTATATTGTGAGAAATTTCGTAAATTTGCACCTCAGTATTGCCTGTTACCAAGCTCCACGCCTGGACATAATAGAGCAGAGCGTAGTGTCGCACGAGTATAAGAAACATTTCAGGCGCTTCTTTTTTGCTTCTTAACATACTAGTACATACGCGTTTGTATTTTTTTGTTTTTTGGTCTACTCTGGCTCTTCTTTTGTTGTCACTTCTCAGATATGTTGTTAACGCAAACCAGTTTATTCATTAATTAAGATGTAAGAAATACATTTTGCTTTGTTGTATTCACGTTAAGTGTAGTAGTTTGCAAGTTACAGCTCTACAATGCTACTTGAAGGATCTGCATGCCTGTCGTGGGCATGTGTAACTTATCGAGGTTATGACAATGCAAGCGCATAGCAACCCTGCACTCGACCTACTCATAGCGCCGGATTTCGTGTGAACTGAAAATGTTTAACAAATTCTATTCAGAAGAAAATCAACTGCACACGTATCCTTGAGTTTCAAAACCCCTTCCTAACATTTGAACTATAAATAGTTGAAAAATGACTACAAGATTAACAACATTTGTAGAAACTAGACATTTTCGTTCCCGATTTATAGAAAACTTATTTGCTTCGAATAACGAACTCCAAATTTGGTCCTCTGTATTGCCAATAAAATAGAAACTCTCACACAGTTCTACTCCTACCACTACCACCACTACAAGTAAAACGAGAGTTTAACAAAACGTGCGCATAGTGAACTTACATTTATGTCCAGGAGCAAAACAAGGGGCCATCTCGGCATTTGCTCAATGGATTAGGGAAACTGGACATAAAGCTGATCGAGATGGGGGACCCGGAAGCTAAAGTACCTTTCTTGTTAACGCAAGTTAATTTTTTTGAAATAATACAAAACAAATGTAAATTCATGTATTTTATAACAATGCTTTGTTATAATAAATGTTATTATTTTTCTTTTTGATGTAACGTATAGTCCGTAATTGTATAAAAACAGTTATGCAGCAGAAAATATTTTACATTTAACTTAAATTCATGTGCCGCTTTAATTGTTTAATGTCATCTGGCAACGCGTCGTAAAGTAGCTTACATGTATTGTAGGTGGATTTCTTGTATTGAGAAGTTGATACCAACAGTCGATGAATGTAATTACTACCACCTGTGCGTAATTATAAATGTTAGTATTGTTTGAAAATATGTTCTCACCTTTAAGGAAGTCACTTTTGACAAAAATTAGATTCGTAAATAAATAAGCACGGCAATGGTCAGATTCCAGCTAAATGAAGAGACGCTTGCAGGGATTAGGTGGATGGTATTTTTTCATTGTTCCAATAATTTTCCTTTCCAATCTAAAGGTCTGACAGGATGAGCTTCCCCAGAATATTATGCCATATCTTAAGCGGGAATGTACATTTGCAAAATACACGCAACGAGCTGCATGATGGCTGACAGAATTTGAAAGAATCCCGAATACGTAACACAATTAACTTAATTTAGTGTTTAATTCTGTTATATGTACATTCAATGTGTGGTCTGATTGAATTGAGATACCTAGATATTTTTAAATTTCAATATCAGCTAACTGAACATAGTTCATTTTCAATAGAGAGTGGGATTGCCGATTTTAAATGCAAAAATACATTGAAACAGTTTTTCCTTCGTTAACTATTAATTTACTACGAAACCAATTTGGAACTTCTGAAATCGTACTATTTATTGTTTCTTTTATGCAAAGAACATTCGTGTCATCGGCAAACAGAACAGTTCTTCCGTTTTTAATGAAGGAGGACTTATCGTTTACATATAACAGAAAGAGGATAGGACCTACGATCGATCCTTGCGGGACCCCATGCTCAATCGGTAGAGAATTGAAAATATAACTAAATAATGTCCTTGTGCCAGTGCGGTATTTCTAATCTTTGAGATCGATGCTTAAGGTACGAGGTTATCCAGTCTAGGGCAAAACCACGCATTGCATATGAAGGTAATTTTGAGAGCAGAGTGTTATGGTCAATAACGTCAAAAGCTTTCGAAAGATCTAAAAATATTCTAATGGGCCCTTCATTTTGGTTCACCGATGAAGCAACATCTTTAAGAAAAAAATGTCAGTTTCCTAGATTTTGATTTTCTAAAATGGTGTTGTGAGACTGAAAACGCTTCCTTTTTTTCTGAGGAAAAGTTTGCATTCGCGAGTAGAAAAGCCTGTCTAATATTTTTGAGAAATCTGACAAAACAGAAGGTAATTTTGATTTTCATTTTGGTTCCCTTTTTAAAAAAGCGGCTTAATTTGTGCTGTTCTGAAATTATTTGAAAATATTCCAGTGCATAATGAAGATTAAAAATGTGAGTAAACGCATATATAAACGTAGATGCGAAATTAAAAAAAAAAAGGAAATTTATTCAAACGAAATATGTATTTATTTTTTAGTTAACTGGGTATTCTCAGGATTTTGATAGAAGTAGTTTCGGAAAGAAACGTCGTGTCGAAATTTTTTTGGGAAGCGTATGTTGAATTTCGTTGTCCCTTCGTGAGATCAGCCGCAATTCTGGAAAAGTGTTGGTGGAAGAGATTTGCAACTTTTTAAGGATCACTGGCTTCTCTTTTGTTATCCTTCAAAATAACATTCTCTGCAAAGTCTCGACATGATGTGGTCTCATGTTTTACAATATTCCACATTGCTTTAGTTTTGTTACTAGCGTTCGAAATATGCTGATTATTTTTCATTATTTTTGCCTGAACTATTACTTTTCTTACAATTCTTTTGTATTCTGGGAAGTAGACATGGAAACCGCGTGATACGTTATGTTTAGAAATAAAGTAAAGAGTACGTTTGTTTTTACATGATGTTCTAGTTGCTTGTGTGATCCAGGTATTACTTTGCCGTGAAATGTTTAATTTCCTCTTTTTAAAGGAAAGCACCAGTTAAAGTGAAATGAAAGCTTTGAAAAAATAAATTATATTTTTCATTTGTGCCAATAGCGTTAAAATCTACTCCCATGATTCCTTCAGCAAGTAGTCCGTAAATAATTTTATGTTAGCTTTAGTGAATGCTCTGCACATGCATGTATTATTCATGTTATTAATAACTAGAAGAACCCGACAGACGTTGTGCCTTTTATCTCCCTCTCTCCCCCTCCCTCCCATAGACATCGAGCTGTAGATTCTGCAAGTCTCTGAGCAGGTGGGTAAAAATCGAGAAGTGTCGGACAAGCAAAAATGTAATAGAATGTTGAAGAAGATCTCCTCCTGCAGATTACGGTGTGAATTTTTTTGAGGCCTTTGACCTCAAAATTTTGGTTTTCAATGCCATAGAACGCTTCGTTTAGGAGATATTTAACGATACGGAGGCAACAAATCTTGCAGTGTTTTGCGGGTTGCATGACACGAATATTTAGTTTTGTTCTTTGTTCCTTTCCCCCAGATATTTTAATAGTTAGTCTGCAATGGATGAATCCAACAATTCAGAGATAATTGAAATTGGTCCACCAAATGTTTTCAATCCTCATAAAATCGGGTTCTGCTGTACGAGTATTTATCCCTTTTAATCGTATATGTTTTTGAAACAAATTTCTTATGACGTGATATACAGTTGAAATTATATGCACCTAATAAATTCTTCTCGGTGTTCCCCAATTCATTTAGCCCCCTTTATATTTCGCAGGCTATAATAAAGGGCAATATCAATTCCCAAGAATAAAAAAAAAATAACTGTTAGTGCAAATTTTTTAAAGAAAATCTTGGTTGAGCAACTTATACCTGTTATCGAAATTTATATCTATCTTTTGTATAACCTCTAATGCCACGTCCGTTACTAGTTTAGGGGTGACTGAACTATCAAATATTATTCACTGATTAAGCATTACACATGAACTTGGCATATTTTTAAAAAAAGTAAATGAAACTTTCTATGTTCTCAGGTACTTTGTCTTTTGGTGCTCGGTAATCATTCAGTAGTGTAATCAGTATGTTATATTAATAACATACTGATACTATAATTCAAAGAAGTGAAAATTTAAATATTTTTGGCGAATGAAAACTTAAACAACAACAACTTCAGAACAGCCAAATACACGTAATTATCAGTTTCCACAATTTTAATTAGTCAATATTTTCAACAAAAAATGTACAATCAAAAACTGTCCACTTGTACAGTAATTTTCCTATCTATTACGCTGTCAATGTTTCGCGTAAAGTGATAAGTCTGATTTATCTGGCAATGCAGGGCAGTCATATCCCACCTCCACAGGATAAAATCACAGAATCAACACATCAACTGAAATTGTTACAATACATTCATAATATAATACGTGTGAACTTCTCACAAGATAACAATTCAGTGATCTTACATCTGCTCTATCATTCCTCTTCCTTTTAAACAGAGATATTTCTTTATCTTCTTCATTTTCCATTTCCACTTGGGCTCGTTTACGACCTTTTGTAGGCGTGTCTGGCTTTGACTAGAACAAAGAAAAATTCAGAATTAGCAAGTCTCAATATGCATGATATCTGCATATGCATCGTCAATGTAATTTATTCATCATCCACACACAACAAATGGGGCAAGTGCCGAGGATTGTAGGTGAAGTTGGAAAAAGTCTATTCTGAAGTATTACTTTGCTTTCAGGACTACCGAGACATGTGGATCTCGACTCTCTAACTGCCCCACAGCAACGCAAATGCGCCGCAAATGGTTGATGAAACCATTGGACATTCAGTCCACATCAAATATTGAAACAGGAATTAAAGCCCCATGCAACGTTTTCTGTCTACGTTCTAGAATTTGCTCATATACAAAGAAGCTTACAAAAAATTGATTTTGTTCATTAGCTTCCTTGTTAGATTAAGTAAGGTAAAACATACAGATCAATAAAATATTAGCAAATTGTCAAACAAATTCGAACACACTTAAGCGAACATCTACGTAACACTGCTTCCTTCCAGTCACATTTCTTGTTAACAACTTGTACACACTATACTAACCCTATAATCATGCACACAACATCAACACAAGCTAAGACATACTTTATAAACTGCCTACATTAATTTTAAACGAGACAAACTGATAAGACTACATAAATTCAGTTTGTCAATGCTAACTAAAACAAATAAAATTTTCAACCACAATTTGACAAAACATTTTAGGGTAAACTTTACTGACAGACCGGCGACAGGGGAAACGGAAGTTGTGGCTAAACAGTACACTGCACTACCAGAAGAAGCCACAACACAGCAACACTTTACCTTCTTTTTGTTCTTGTCACTGGGAGAGGATGCATTACTAGCGGGGGACTTGCACGACTTTTTGTCCATCTCACTCTCGGGAGTGTCGGTACCACTGCCACGCTTCGGGCGGTTCCGGGCAGTCTGTAGAGCAAACAACTTTACAGCAAGCAACAGCCGGGCACAAAATTGCCACATCTGGCAAGCTAATCTTCTATAAATAAGAACTAAAACAGCATTTTTGAGCAACAACCACATGCACAGCAGCTGCTTATTATAGCTCCTACACGTGTGTTTGTGACTCACGCTGTTTCAACATTTATAGAGGTACAAATGATACATAGCTGTCAGCTTGGTTGTATCTGTACTTGTATAGCAAGATAAACATATAGCTAGATGACTGATTAGGAAATATACCCCACTGAAATCGTTCAAAAGGGTATAAAAATAAATTGCCTAAAAATTATATACTGAAACAAATTTTATCTCAATTTTCCCTCCACTCATTAGGAAGTATAAAATAAGCCTTATTGCATTGTATTTTTTCAATAAAATCTTCAATTTCTTTTAATAAATAAAGCAATCAAAAATTAATAAACGATCGATAGCCATCGATTGGTAACAAAGTTAATTGATGCTGAGATAATTCGTTGTAAACTTTGCGTAATATATCTTGAACGATTATCGTTTAGTAAAATTCTTAGTAGCTTGTACAATAAACGTAAAATTGTGATTTAAATGTGCATTTCCCTTGTTTTACCAAATGTACTGAAAAATTGCCAGTCAAATGCAACAAGTAAATTAAAATTTTAAATATCTAACAATATACTACACATCTTCCGCTGAACACACTTAGCACTTCCCAAAGAATAAGTTATTTTCATGAATTTAAAAAGGTAGGTATTACACGTTCATTGGAGATGGACCAACGAGGTACAATAGAAAAACCAACAATTGCTCAAGGTAAAAAAAAAATAATTAGGCAAAAACATTTGGCATGGCCCATCACTTCGTACTACACAGATAAATAACCACACACATCACATGCCTACAGGTAGCGCAAATTCCAGGATGACCGAGAATGCAGGGAATTAACGCAGTGCCAGTCTCCTTCGAAAACTGGGCCGGCGTTATTTCCTCAGATCTTCGGTCCCGTACCAGTTACAAAATTCCCAATGGTTTAATGTTAACTGTCGTTCTACATAGTAGACATGTGATCCACTTGAATATCTCCTGATGAATGAGCTTCTCTAGGCAATAATGTTGCACATGGTTATCTTTGGTCCGCAAGCAAAAGTCAGGGTTTCCGGCAAACTTTTGGGTTCTGGTGTTGTACAACACTGGATAGATTGGGAACCTTCCTGACCATATCACCGGTCAAATAACGCATGTTCAACGCCTTCTTGGAAGCCTCCCTCAGGGCCATGGACTCTGCCTCGGTGGGCAAGGTTACCGTCTGTTGTTTCATTTCCAGGGTAAGTCTCCGCTATTCATAGTTAAGCTAAGTAGATCTCATATTGTCCAAGTGGAATCCAAAAATCCATTCAATCCTTCACTCCCGGATCCGATATCCGATTCCGAACCCAGCGGTACAGAAAAGGCAAAGTACCAGTTTCGTTCCCTGTCAGTGGTTCTTCTCCAAAGTATCATTGACTGGTTAACATGCTCACGGCAAGCAATGAAGAATGTGGTCGCGTCGCGACTAGCACATTAAATATTACTGTTGTCTCTAAGGAAGTAAAGTGGACGATTTCGAACAGCACTTCATGCTAGATCGACGCAAATACAAACTTACTATCAGACATTTCAAAGCAATCCAAAATAAGCATGACGTACCCCTTCGGCAAAGAGAAACGCCGGGCTCCACACACATGTGGCGTGACCCAGTCCCAGACCTAGAAGGAATTTCGCTGGAACCTGTACTCCAGCTGAGTTGAAAATGGCGTTATCATTACGCCATTCCAAAATTCGCACCAAAAACTTCAAAAAATATTAGAGCAGTTTAAAGAAGTTATAAATTTTAGTTTCTGGCAATTCGAGAAATCGATACGATGGCACATTGGTTAATAATATTGTGCTCTCTACGTCAGATCTTGTCTCCGCTTTTAAAAGCTGTTCTCACTGAGCCTACGGCCGAAATGTTTCTACCAACAGCGATCAGCTTGCTTCAGGCCATGAAGGGCTTTCTTCTTTCTGCCCAAAAGCCTCTTCTGTCTTCACACATCCTCCCATATTACGGGGCGCTGCACGTCCTCTAATGACCCTTGGTGACGTCTCTTGCATTCCTCCTGACTGATTCGTTATTTCCTTATTTGTTCCACAGAACTAAGCTACATCCGATAGTAGTTTTGTCACTCGGTCGATCGACTAGGTTCCTCAAGATGGAGACAAGTTCATCCGCCATCAGCGACATTCACTCGTCCTTGTTGAGAACAGAAACGACTATATCAACTATACCAGCAAGAAATTCTTACCCTTACAGCCTCCCTCGTTGCCCCGTGCGTCTACTATCACTCCTCCCGATCTACGCCACTGCTGTTGGCTTTCAGACGCACATCATCTGATTTCGTTGGTTTTGTCGTTTTAGTGCAGCAACCCTATCGAAATTGGGACACTTTTCTGCATTTGGAGAAAAGTCAACTTCGATGAACAAGTCACATTTATCTGAGTTAATAACTGAAGATATCACACGTCGGTCGGAGTAACACTCCTCGTAATAATACTGCCACTGCGTTGAGGAACAAGATGTTGCATGACAACCTCGAGTTCTTCACAAACAGATTCAAAATCCTTTTCACTGCTCGATACACCCGCCAAATCTCCTTCACACCGCGAAGGTAGAACTTCCCGGAACTTCACGAACTGTCCAGACAGATCGCATACGACATTTTCAAAATTATTTAATCTGGGAACTTGACATCCACGCCTCGAGAGAGATAGGGAGGATATCCTGTCGAAAGAACACGCAGTTTATCTTCTGATGGTCGTCGAGGATACAGCTTCGTCCAGAATGGTGCGAGGCCCTACTGTAGCAGGAGATACATGTCCATCTTTATGAGGCTGCGGTCCTTCTGCTCCGCTACGGCGCTCTTTTGCGTTTGGGATATTGAAACGACGCATAGTTCCGGCGCATCCCCAGCATCTCCTTGAAACGGCTTTCGTTGAGTGTGTTAACTCTGTCCGACGAATCTCGTATCGCCTGAGCACATAATCGCCGACTGTCACCAATAAATGCGCGTTTCCGTTTCCGGGGACTGCGTCGACGTCGAGAGAAGGTCAGCTCTCCTGGTCCTCTTGTCATTCTTCGGAAATGATTCTGCACTAACTTCCCCTGGAGAGAAGACCTGCACTAGAGTTCGACTTCGGAATAAGCATCTTCGATTCCTCCATTCTTCCGTGAATCTCAGAGACTCTTCACTTTGAAGTGTACAAATCGAATGTACTACACCACATGGGACCTCTTCTGGGAGGATTTGATGGCCAGTTTCAGTCACTCCACATCAAGTTCTCAACTTCTCGGCATAGTTCAAGTCGATCCATCGCTCGCCGAGCAACGTTTCTTCCCCGGGTCCAAAACTCACGTAATGTTTTGTCAAAAACAAAAAAAACAAAACAACCACACAATAGCCCTAAATTTACATTTTTTCCTTTACAAAACATTTGCACACGTCTGGCACGTACAAAGTGATTCGTAGGTCGTGAGTCTTGTTGCGACCATAGACGCATACGGTACGAGGCACTCATATTGGACAAACTTCAGTCGATTTGAGAACATAGCGTCTGTGGCAGAGGTCGAAAGATTCTTGATTATCCGGGAAACATCGCGTCCAAGGCAGTTGCTAACGGCCGTCATGCTCATGATACGTTCGACCGTCATGCAGCGATCTTCAAGACTAAATGCAAACCGCATATCATCTTGAGGAAGACGAATTACATACCCCACCAAATGTGCATTCCATATCACGCACGTAGGGACAGCAAAGCGGTTTGTAATGAAGAATTCAAGATCTGTTAGGCATATGTTAAAGAAAAACAGCATCTACGAAGAAATAGAACAAGAATAATTTTTTGTAATGATTTTTTTATATTATCTTTAATGAGTGCGTAGTTGACCACAATCTTCATGCTTCAAATTTCTACTATAAATGAAAATTGGCAGGGTACAATATAACCAGTCATAATACTTGGAACAGGTTTAAGGAATTGTCTATTGTGATATCAAGGCATTTCTGCCCGATAAGGAAATAATTCTGAATAAATGATAAAATAGTAAATTAAGAAAAAACAACGTATGTTGAAAAACTATAGGGTGCTTAGATACATTTTTAGATTTATTTGGTGAAAAAAACGGTAAAAACTGTATTTGGCGTATGGGGGAAAACTAGACATTTTCGTTCCCGAGTTATAGAAAACTTATTTGCAACGGTAAACTAATTGCATTGCTAACAAAATAGTAATTCACCCTTACCTCTACTCCTACTACTACCAACGGAAGGAGAGTTCAACAAAAGGTGCGCATTGAAGTTACATTTACGTCCAGAAGCAAAACAAGGGGCCATCTCAGCATTTGCTCAAAGGATCAGAAAAAACTGATCAAGATTGGAGTCATTGACCCGAAAGCTGAAGTATATTATTTGTTACAAGCATATTATGTCTTTTTAAAAACGTACAATACAAATGTAGACTGATTCATTATATATCACTGTTTTGTTAAAATAAACATTTTTCTGCTTATGGTCAGAATATTCTCTAATCGTATAGAAACAGTTGTGCAGCAGAAAAGAGTTTACTTTTAACTTAAAATTTGTATACAGACTTCAATTGTTTAATGACACGTTTAATTTCACAGAAATGTTTCAAATGCTGGTTGTAGCATTGATTCAATTTTTGGAACGAGACAATAACAATATAAAATGCTTGGGCTTAAACATCAAAAGCCTGTTTACAGTTCAAGAAGTTAGTTCAAGGCGTGCATTAATAGATAGGTACATTATAAACTACACAGAACTTTACAGACCACTTTCTGGCGTTGGAGCTCTTCAGAGATGTAATCAAATAAAAAAATAATTAAAAGTTATCTAAATGGTGCCAAGCACGTTTTTATGTCTACCAATTGCTCTTAAATCAAATTAAAACAAGGCACA